CCCCCCCCCCCCCCATTATTTTGTTATATGAATACTGACATTTGATGTGATGCTTAGAAGCACATTTCTTGGAAGAAAAGTTTTGTTCCACCCCCTTTGCTGTTAACGTGAAATGAAATGAACGCATAAATACCTATATTCATCTTGCACAAAGAACCAGTCTTCTACTTGTTGCTCTTCCTGCCTTTTGTGAAAAAATAACATGAATTTTAGCTCTGATACTACCTGCAAGGAAAAGGTGTCACCAAAATCAATGATTCATGGAACTGCCTCTTGCTATGAATGTGGACCTTTTGGATCAAGTTTTCTTTCATATACATTTGGGTAACATCAGCACTGGGGGTTTGGAAGTGACTGATGGGGTTACTGTGTAGCAGCTGCAGAGCAATTCTCCTAGGCAAATTCAAAACCCTGCTGGAAATATTTCACTCTTAATGTTTCTCTTGTAAGTGAAATACTGTGTGCACTTGTGTGTGTGCTACTAGCGACATGTTACAGCATTTCCAGACTCTTTTGAAATTTCAGGAAGGAAGTATGTGTTACACTGGCAATAGTATATTTCCTTTCTTCAATTCTATTTTGTTTTCCTAGCTTGAGTGAGTTATTATCAAACACATCTTTGAACCACAGACACCTACTTAGCCGTAGATACTACTACCTAATTCTTCCCTCTGTCATACTTACCTACTCTCTTGGGTGCACCTAACACTAATGTATACCTATGAGCACTGCTGAATGTCAGCTGTTCTCTTTAGAGGTCTAGAAAGATTTTACATGGGGGCTTTTGGTTACTGGACCCTACTGTTTGCTCTCTATCAACAATCAGGACTAGATGACAGTTGAGAGAGAGACTAATGCACAGTATGATATCCCTACCCTCTTTTGCTTTTTCACACTTACTGCCATTTGTATTGGATTGATTACAGACTTGTAATAACATACAGTATTGGCTCCGGGGGGGAGTGTGTGTGTGTATGTGTTACAAAATAGAAGGAAATTAATCATAAGTGAGTTGTATCTCTCAATGTCAAAATAATTTGTATTGATTTACTTTTGCAGACTCATCCTTGGAGAAGGGAGCCCGTCGCTGACAGCCTATGACCTGGAGAAGTGTAGACCAAAGGCTGCAAGCTAGTCTTGCAACTTCCTTATGCTGTTTTGTTCGGGGGGGGGGGGGGGGTGTTGCCCCTAGCTCCTTATCTCTTCAGTGCATGTTATTTATGCCTGGTGAAATCCCTGCGAGGACAATAGAAAAGCAGATCATACAGACAAGTGATCCTCAGGATCCAGTTAAACTCTGCTGGGAAGCTTTATTGCCCTTTGTTCTGAAGATGCTGTTTGTGCTATGAGAATCTGTTAAAAAGCCTTACGAGAAAAGATGCAGCTATTGCTGGGGATTCAGCGACAGTCACATCTGGTTTGAATTCAAGAGCTTATAAACCCAATAGTGTTGTGATATTTTTTTGTTTGCGAATTATAGTCTTTTTTCATTTGATTCCAGGGAATGATTTGTTGATATACCATCTTGAATTACGTACTCTTTTTCTTGGTGGTTTGGTAAAAAGGAAATCTGCTTCGCTGTTTTAACGCATTTGTGTAATTGTAAGCAGGGTACCGCCAATGCCAGGCCAGGTAGAAGGTTGCTACTCCCCTTTTTGAGTGAAGGTCAGCTCTCGTTTTGTTTTGGCTCTAGAATTACAGGAAAAATGTAATCACATTTTTTTTCTGTGTGTACTTAATTGTATCAGAAGAATTCTAGTAGAAATATTTAATGGATCTAACTTCTCGGTGAAAATGGCTTTATATTTCCAAATGATTCTTGTAATGAATCTGAACATCATTGTGTAACCTCTAACCTAAGAATAAAACCTGGCTTTTTAAATGAAATTGCATTTAGACCATGACATTTTTTTCAGAAAATTGTAGTGAATGGATGTTCAGCAAACATTACCTGATAATCTACTTGCAAGATTGCCCCTTCCCTTCAGGCAGGTATCCAAATCCTCTGGGATCCCACCTGAAAGAAGGAACTGAGATTTTTAGCACCACAAGACCGCATGAGATGTCCTGTGTGCTTTCCTTATAGCGCAGAAGTAGTTAATATGAGTTTAAGTTCCCACACAAACAGCTTTTTGAGCTGTACAAAGACAGGGTCATCAGTTAATGAGACTGCCTGTGTGTGTCATTTCTGCTTTTAGAACAGGTATTTCTATTCCCATCAATATACAAAGGCCTGTGCATTAAAATAATAACCTTACAGGATTAAGCATGTTCAGCATTTGATTTTGGACACAATGGGGAACAGCCCATGGGAAATTATTTTTCTGCTGTTACGTTTTACAGTGATGCTACTTTTGGCTACACTGATCAAAGAAACAGCACTCCTAACTTGTGATATGGACTCAGGAAGCACATGAGCAAAGCACTGGGAGAACTGTCCTCTGAAGAGAAATTGCTTTTTCAAGAACTATTGAAAATTAGAGTTTGACTGCAAAATTAGCTGCACAATAAACTCCCGAGTCTCTTTTAGAGAGAGAGGAGTTTTTATCTCTGCATTAATTTGGAGCTGGCTTACAAACACTATAGCAGCAGATAGTTTAACCAGCAAACAATATAACTGCGCTACTCCCGAGTAGTGATTTGGCTAATAAGGGTGAGATCATGGAAAATGCTAATGTGGTGCCTTCGGAAAATCCAATTATAATGTAACCTAATTCAATGCGAGCTCTCAGCAGGTGATCAGTGCTGTGGGCAGAGCACCCCGCACTCAAAGATGTCACGAATCTGCAAAACAGACGAGCTTCTGTGTGGTTGGTGTGGGAGGCAACAAACCCCGCTTTCATTCATTTCCACTGTTTTCCCCAACTAATCGCAAAGGTTTGCTCCTTCCATTTGTGGCGCTTAACTCATTATCTGACAACTTGTGCAAGCATTATCTGGCCCAAGCGGATGATTCAACACGAGCCATTCACAGTAAGAAAACAGAGTTTGCAGGGCTATCTTTTTCCCCGCCCCCCCTCCGTTTAGTCACAGGCTTTTAATGTTTGGCTGGCTTGGGCACAAGACTGTAAACCTTGGCTCACACAGATCCTAATCATGCGAAGTGTGGGGTATTCCTTCCATTGTATGATAGAGAATTTCTATCTTCTAAAATGCCTGTACTGTTGATCTTCCTCTTGATTTTCTTACAATGATGTATGTTTCCCAAATGCAGGTGCTGTCATCTATTTGAATTAGCATTGTCAGACTCAAACACCCCCAAAAGGATACGCTTTCTGCAATGACCCAGACAAGTTTGAGAGGGTGAGTTATTTTAGTTAAAATCAACCATAGTACTCATAACAGACATTTTTCCTTCCTTGAGCTTTGCTGAAACTGGGTGTCAGCACTCCTAGTTCTTGCTCTGGCATTTCCCAATCTTTGTTACATATTTTATTTTCCAAAAACCTGCCAAATTTTCCATCTGATCCTTTCTATTTAGCTTTCTCTGATATTTTTGCGTGTCAGTGATGAGTGGACCAATTTCACAGTAAAGGCTAATGTGTTTGTGAAAGGCCTTTTCTTTTTTCGTTCCTTTTCTTGCAGGAACTGTTCAGGGTTTGGGAATATTGGAATTACTATGCACATTGCAAGAGGAGCAATTCATATACAGAGACTAACTTTCTTTTCAGGCTGGATCAGGCACTTATTTGAATACCTGAAGCTGTAACAGCAGTAATGAGCTACACCCACAGCTTGTGCCCCCCCGATTTCCTCTCATGTTGGCTTGGGGAAACAAGACAAGCATAAGTTGATTTTCTGTCAAAATGTTTCAGCAGTTTAAGGGGATGTTTTCAGTTGTCTAGCAGAAAGAGTAATGTGTCCTGCATCGATGCTGGCCAGTCTGCCCACCAGGTGAGATTATCAGCAGTACTTGACTCGTATCCCTGTGCGACCGTCTTATAAGGACTTGACTGCCATATTTAAAATGCTTACAAGGTGGTGAACTTTTAGATATATGAAGAGGACCCATAATGAAGCTAATTACTCAGCATGTTAAAAGGATGGGGAAGGTCCAGGTGTTGGTCATGATCAGCCCTTGGAAAGCCTTGTTACTTCTAGTGGGAGCGCACATGTTGACATGTGTTTGTACAGATTCTGAAGGATGAGTTATGACAGCTAATAGACACATGAGATTTTATTAAATAACAGATCTGGGGGAACGTTTTATGTATGTTTTGGCATGGGTTTCTGTAGTCTTGTCTTCTAAACTGAACTTTTTCCTTTTGGTTGCAGTGTTATATACTAAGCATGTTTTGGAGAAATTTTAATTTCTATGAATGAGAACAAGTCTTCATATGTCAAGTTAAATTACTTGCTTACAATATTTTTTTACATTATTTTCAACATAATATGCTGGATTCACTAAATGGTGTTTTGATTACCCTAACAGTAATTATGCAACATTAAAATAGGAGCACGTTTGAACTCATGGAGTCATTAACACAAATGAGGTACTTAAAAGCTTGGCATCCTTTGAGGATTTTTTGTCCCATCCTTTATTTTTTTTTCTCTTCTTTTTTTTTTTTTTTCCTTCTTGTGGAGCTAGCAGATGTGACACCAGCATTTTGCTGACAAAGATTTTTGTTTTGATTCACCACTATTTTACTTCCCAGGTATTTTAAGGTCTGTGCCTTGTCAAAAATTTATGTTGTTTTAAAATTGTCTTTCTTTTCTGAAGGCCTGAAGTGCTATTGGTGACAGTCATGCCAATGCTTATTCCATTCTATTTCTATAAATATTTCTTTCTACTTGTAAGCATCCTTCCTTAGTCTCAGACTGTCACTTGCTTTAGGAAGGAAAAATTGTTGCTTTGAAATTGCTGGTAAAAGCTGGGAGCTGTTTTAATTGCCTCAGAAACCCTGGACACAAGAGGAAGTGGATTTACAATAATGCTGTAGGCAAAGCACATGGGGTGCCCCAAATACACACTGATGATAGGAAGGCTAGATAGCACAGCTGAGGATGATTTGATAGATGGATCACATTACTGTCCTCCTTGAATCCATTCACTAGTTTTTTATCTTTCACTGCATCAATGTTAGATTTCTTGTCCAAATAATAAACCTTCATCTCTCATTCATCTCCCACAGGCTCTCCCAGTTTCTTACCTTTCCTCTCACCTTCCAGAGCATGGCTTTTGTGTCCTGTGTAAGATGATGTTGCTATTGCAGAGTCTTGAGCCTTCTGCTTGTCAGAAACACGTCTTCCTTCAAACCTCTGCTGTAACCTCACTTCCCAACTTCTTCTCTGTATGATTGATTTCTAAACCTTCTTTACTTGCAATGGCCTTTAAAATTCTGGCATACCATTCTTGTTTGTCTTTTAATAATGTCTGGGAAAAGGTCAGGGCTTTGTTTTCTAGATCTACTGGCAAGGAATGCCATTCTACAGTCCCGTAAGAGGGATTAATGTGTTATCCACTACAATGCAAAGTGTTACATTGTTATATATAGTCTCCTGAATTATAGTAAGAACACATCATCAACAAAAGTATTTTCTTCTGAGATGAAATGAATTATATAAATTCATAGTATTTATTATATAAATAAATAGTAGAACCAGAAATGCATGGTGAATGTGGTGGATGGAAGAACGCTTTCACCTTTTGGCTCTGGTTCCCCACATCCAAAGACTTGCACTTCATTATCTCCACGTCGTACTCCCAACCTCCTACCAGACATTGCTCTGTCAGCATTTCACTTTCCATGACAACATGTTTGGGGGGAATTAGGATTATGAGATGCCCAAAATTCTACCTCCCTCCCTTTCTGTAGTCTAGAATAGAATGAGAAAAAGCTGATGTGGTATGATGATACCTTTAGGTCAAGCAATCTCAGCTGCTCCAGCTTCCTCTATTTTCCCCCTATAATAGACTGGGAACTCAGCCTTACCCTAGTGAGCTGGAAATTCTGCCTTGACCATACCACTCTGCTGAGCTTAGTATTTCTAATAAGGTTGAAGTTCTCTCTCTTGTTTAAAAAAAAAAAAAAAACCCTCAAGTTTTAAAAATAGTTTTTGTATTTTAACTTTGTTGTGAGAATGACGGCAG